ATAAAAGATAAAAATCTTACGCCCTAAAGCTTCTACTTCTTCGTCGATAATTATGATAAAGAATAACATACCATACGATGACAACCCTGCAACATTTTTATCTCATACCCTTTAAGTGTTGGTAACTCTTAGGCCCCGAAATGGAATTAAATCATAGTAAAAAAAAGTTCGCAAAATAACACGGTTGCATTCTGAAGACTCATCCCTCAACATACTCTAGACTCATCAGGAAGTTTTATCTCGGTAGAGTTTATTGTGACCCGGTAGGCACTACTGACCGATTTCCCACTCTGTCATACTCTGCGGCATCAATCATGCACATAGATCGTTTTAGTTATCTATGACGATCGAGTATGAAATAGCGCGTAAGTTATGAATAAATAAAAAAAATATCAACGCCTGAATCCCAGGCTATACTGACCGATGCACTCTGTATACAACCAGACCACTCAATCATGCATCGTAGATCGTTATTTAGTCGTCAACATTATTGAAATTTATTTATTTATTTATTTATTTTTTATATGTAGCTTATGAAAAAAGTATATGATAAGGAACTGGCAATCGACAAGTAACTTGCAAACCCGGGTATCATTCAGCTGACAGTGTGACGTCATTTTCATTTAAGTTAACTTCACACCATCCGTCTCTATCATAATTACAGTCAAACATTTACAAACATTAAAAAAAAACATTTTTAAAAACAAACGAGTAAGGAAAACTAATTGTATATGTGTGTCATATCATTATCGTCTGCTGTATGTATCATGTCTACCCATTGTCTGTAACATTTGTATAGCTATGTCTATAATATCAGGAAACAAACCGACTGTTCAGTTCCCGACGCCGGTAGTTGTTCAGGAACCTTGCAGGAACCTGGCAGGAAAATCTAAATTTCCTTTACAACATTTATGTGACGTTGGGTTAATACCGTAAATACTCTTCAATCTACTTGGCGCTAGGATAGATATTCTACTAATTCTGTTAGTATAATATTGGAAAACCATATACAGTATTTTAATGATTTACATCCAAAAGGGAAACCCTTACTAAAATTAATGCAAGTACAATCAAGTAGCTGATCTTAAGAAAAAATATCTTAAAATGTGACTATATTACGGGGAGCGAACAGCGACATAGTCTAGTGGCGCTGCTCCCAGACTAATAAGCACATTTTAAGATATATTTTTAAGTCTTGATTTATTTCGTTGCCATGTAATTTTTAATATTTGTAATTTTGTCATGGAATAAAACTTTTAAAAATTGTTATAATTTTTGACAATATACTAGACAACAAAGAATAGATAGTTATTGCTTTTAAAACAATAGAAAAATAATTAATAGTTTGTTTGTTGTAATTAGGTTTTACGTCACACCAAAACATTATAGGTCATATCGCGACGTTCCAGCTTTACTGGTGGACAAAGACATCAGGTGCCCTTCCGTGCATTATTTCAGGTACGAACGGGCACCTGAGTAGAACCACCGACGTTCCGTAAGCTAGCTTGATAGCTTCCTCACATGAAAGAATCCAAAGTCCCTGTCGGGATTCGAACCCACAGCGGTGAGTGGCAAAATAATAAATAGAAGATATTCCCATTAATGCAAGATTTATTTTCATCGAGTGGTAAGAAAATAAATATTACGAGTGGCGGTAAAAAAAACTTGAATTTTCTGTATATTTTATAACTTTTTACTTTTTTGAACTAACGATTTAAACGACTTTCCTTTTGATTTTGTGTATTGGCTGAATTATGAAGGAAGTAGTCCGGGAAGACAACAGTAAAAATATGGAAAATATGTTTCACTGAAGAGAAGATATAGAAAATGAAAATATGCATTTTACTGCATTAGTATTTCACAAAATTTTATTTATAAATATACAATAAGCTAAAATCTTACCTTTAAAATAATGACTTCAGCTGCAATTCCATGTAGACTTATTAGGGATTTTACATGTAGAATAGGTACATTTGTATTTGGTACTACTACCCTCCATATTTCTACAAACAAATTTTTTACCGGAAATTACAACCTACCTGTAAAACTCATAATGTAAAAAATAACTATATAGTATTAATCACAATGTTTGATGCAATTTTAGTTACTGTCAAATACCTAGTATTGTATATAAAATGTGTAGTGGATTACTTAAGCCTACAACAGGTGTGACTGTTGACCACTGAAATTCATCTTTGTCTTAAAAAAAATATTTATAATGTTTCTTTTATACCTCTTGTTATTTTCATTTTACTGAAGGACCTTTGCTGTGCAGGATACAGGCATTCCTGATTCCTGACATGACCAATGAAATCGCGTATCTTTTATATCTTAAGATTGCAAAGACTTCAAAAATTAAAAATATAATTTAAACCTTTGTTTTTACAACAGGAATAATACGGTACTAATTTATATACAGGAAAGTTATGGAAATACGGTTCAATATGTAACTAACGCATTTATTCTTAGCCTTGTCAATAGGAAACTTTCATTAAGTCAGAAAGATCGCGCGTCGTCATAGCGACTGATGGCGTTCCGGAAGTGAGAACAAACCTAACAGAAAAGTTCGTTAAGCGTATCAAAAGCCATCAAACAGTGTTGCGTGCCTGGAAATCGAAAGGCTTTTGCATTTTATGTTGAAAAGAGATGTTGGAATACATTTGCCGGGCTCATTCTATATCCGACTTCCGGTTATATAGAGCGTTCTTCCATAACTGCCGCAGACGACATGAATAATCCATTTCACTTCCTTTGACTGCTAACTTAATATCAAACGGGAAAATTGATCAATTCGTTTATGGTATGTTTCTTTTGAGCGTCGTTAAAAGTCAATAAGTGTCATGTTTTTGTCTGATGCCGTCCAATTATTTGCATATTTCAGGGATTATAAATGGAACTGAAAAAGGCTATGCTGATACTTGGGGTTAATTAAAATAGAATGATTCACTGGGAATTATTAGCTTAATTTACTTACACTGGAAATTCTTTCGGCGACCTACCTTGTCACAGGTGTGATAAAAGTGTTGTTTTGTTTACGCTACTATCAATTTATTCATTTCATAAAAATATGTAAATCATCATTTATTAGTATACTTTATTTTCATGTACATATAGGTATATTGTATTATTTCTTTCTTTTTTATTCTATTTTATTAATTTATTTTTAATTGTTTTTTTACATGCTAAATATCAGAAAAAATATCATAAATGTTTTAATATTTTCTAATACATACACAAATGAAACAGTATATCAGTTGTTAATTAGAATCGAATTCAATTAACTTATTAGATTTTCTTATAATCTAAAAAAGATTTATAAAGACTGTAGAAGTTGTCTTTGAAATATATCAGTAAATTATATGCTTAATTATTTATATTGTAAATATATAATACAAGTTATATAAAATTCAATGTAAACTGAATATTTTGTGCTACAACTTTTGTTCATGTACCATGATATTGTTTATCCAATATGCTATACAAATGTAAGTCAAAACGACAATGTATTAAATGTATAAGTCAATAGATTATCTATCTATCATAAAGATAACGTTAAAAGCAAAAATGGAACTATTCGTCATTGTCGAATTATAATATATATTTATTATTGATAACAGATATGTTGATGGTACATTGTATTTATAAAACTTCACAGGGTACATGTATACATTTTTGATGCAAGTTGAAATGTCGGGGTAGCGAGTTTAGTGGTAAAATTATGTCACAAGTGCACAGCTAGGCCAAGCTGCACAGCAGAGCAATCTAACCATATTCTTTATTGAAAACTACTTGTCCTCGAGATTAACAATGATAATATCAAAAATAAGGAACAATCTATTACAGAGAGGAAATGTTCGCAATGTCATAAACTTGTACTAATGTAGAAGATCGTATTACTAAGGCCGGTAATCGATACGACCACGGACTATATACAGTAATAGTTATATCGCTTGTTATTTGTTAACACGCAGACGACTTTTTTTTTTTTTTGAAAGAGCAATAAAACATTCTCTTTTTTGTTGAAAATTATTAGGGTATATTTAGATCGTTTTTACTATGACTTATAGCGATTTACTGTTATTATTATAATGTATCAACAAAAGAAACTGAGAACGAGATAAAGTATGTTACGGCAACTTGACAAAAATTAACCCGATTTTTAGCGCGCGCTTTCTTGTACAAATTGTCTCATAAGTATTCGTTCTTATTGAGTGAGTTGGCCAAAAAACCAGTTGCTGCTTTCATGTTTTATTATGTTGCGATTTATTTTTAATACATGTACATTGTATCATAAAAAATATACATGTATGTACACACGCTTTGAAATCTGTGCATAAAAGATGAGGAAATTGTGCTAGCCGTAAGCCGATTCGCTAAAATAAAACTTAAATAAAATATGATACCAAGGATTTTTATTCCGAATCTATCTCGTGATTGTATGTGAATAATTTGGAGAAAGGTCCAATGTACATCATTACATACTGTTATGTCAACCTCTAGTCGTCTGCAAACATTGCATTTATATCCGGAATTCTGGCTTCTAATATCCGGTTAAAGAACGTATCTATTAATTTATTTTAAACATGGTTCTACAAGGATAAAACATATACCTGGTTCTAAATAGGCAAGTTACTGTCAAAACACTTCAAACTCGTACCGTTTCTAATATAAGAAAAAAATCTTCATTTGCGTGACATTTGCGGGCACAATTACAGAAAGTAAACTTGAAAATTTAAACTAGAAAATCATGCCTAGATTAACTAACATGGCAATGTTTCGTTCGAAAAATTACCTTTAAGCTTATATGTTGTGTGTCGAATATGTATTTATGACCACCTATGTTTAAAGACCATTATTTAAAAAGTTTACTCAATGATTTTATTTAGTAATAAACATGCGTACAACGGCCGCTCGTAAGTAAGGGGCAGATTTAAATATTTGAATGGCGGTCTTATATCTGTCCACATATTACTGTTGTAATGAAAAATAACAACGCGGGATTTCTGTGAAATATCAAATTTAATTAAATATTCAAATAATTTAAAAATTAGCACAAAAAATTACATTTTAACATATATATGTACAATTATTTCTATATACACATACATTGTTATTGTATAAAGGAAAAACATATTTTTCCTACTACAATAGATTTTGTACATGACCTTTATACGTAAACGTACACGTTTCAGTAAAACTGGACGTCACTTGTTTTAACGTTATGGAATGTGAAATCAAAGTGAAAAATCTGGCTTAAAGTTCGAATCTTCTTATTTTAAAGCGTAGCTTTATTTAGGAAGATTTCCCAAATTAACTAGCACTGTCCCAGATTTTGTTAATAATTTTGCATCATGTTAACTTACGACAAAATCGACAATGTTGACAAAATTAGTTCATTATCACTATTCACTGTAAAGCTTATAAATTTCGTTTATTTATATTCTTACAGAATTTATATTCTTATATCACATTTTAACAAGATTAAGTTTAGAATATTATAGAAATATCATAGGATATTGGTTCAGATAAATGGGCATGTTCAAGTTTTCTTAAACATGGAATTCTGGAACACACATTTAAACAATCAAGTTTGAGTCGCTTCAACTGCAATGAAACACTATATAGCATGCTTTATGTTAATGTCTAAGTCAGTTTAAAACTGGCAAATTATTTCAAATGAACCAAAAGATATAAACTTTTCAAAAGACTGCATAAATTCCACGTGACATGGTATGAAATGATATGTTTATACATAGTCACTTACACATGAATTGCTTTCTCAAGGATTTACGTCTATATAAAATGCATAATAATGAATCTTAATCAATAATATGACGGCATATGAGACGGCAGGTGCCCGTGAGACATCACGTGATTTGGAATACTCGATGGAAAGAACCCGGTTGTTGTAGCTGGCCAAGGGTACGGATTTCCCGTCCCAAATATACCGGGAGAAGGAGCTGACGATATTGGGCCGTGTGTTGGGGAAATAAAGTTTAATTTTGGTGACGAGTACGCGGACATTAGCATGTCCTGCTGGTATTTGTAAGCAGTGTGATCCGGTGTTGAGGGTTGCATAGCCTGGGCTAGCCCTGCAAAGTCAAATTTATATGCATATCTCTTTCCATGAACTTTAGTCATGATGTTTTTATCATAGTAGTATCTCAGCGCCCTGCTTAGTTTGTCATAGTTCATATTAGGTTTGCTCTTTCTTTCACCCCACTTTCTCGCCACTTCATCCGGATCAGAAAGTTTGAACTCGCCATTAGTCCCTTCCCACGCAATAATCTGAGCGTTCTGGCTGTCAGAAAGTAGTTCCAACAAAAATTGCCATAGTTGTATTTGACCTCCGCCTGCAAAACAAAAACGTGACTTGTAATTTGCTGTCGTACACAAAGTAATATTTCAAGCGATGTGTCCATTAGAATTAAATTTACATACAAATGCAAACTTAAATAATTGTTATGTCTAATAAAATGTTGTAAACTTTATCAGTGGGAAGGAGATGTCTGTAAAATCATGTCTTTAAAATAAAAGATATTTTACTTAGTTCTTCAATAAAGAATATGTTTAATTAAGACTTACCAGTATTTGAGAACCTCGCTGAAATAGGCCCAAGAATTTGATATGCATCTGGAAAAAGAGAACAGTTTAAAAATTAGACAGCTAATTTAAATAATCATGTTTTTACTTACCGGAAGTGAATCATAATTGCTAGACTTTCAAATACATGTTGCATTTTGAATATTCCAAATGCCACCGATTTTTATGTTATGTATAAGTTTGTTTTTTTAGCAACGATTGCTTACATAGGCAACATGTTTCATAAATATGCAAAAAAATGACTTATTTATTTCGTCCTTAACATGCTAGTTTAGAAAGTGATTGCCCTTTGCCACCGGTAAAGAGCCAGACTAGCTTGCACATAGGCTCTTTACCGTATGTAGCTTAATTTTTATACTTTGATATTAAAATTCAAATACATGTATACAGTACTGTTTCAAATTCAAAACAGTGCAAATCAATTACACATATTCAGGAGGTTGACCACTAAACTTTGCGCTTTGTTTTACAATGAATTGACATTAAACAGTTCATAAAAATGTATTATATGCTAGTGAATGCTTCAGCTGTAGAATATCGTTTCGTAGCACAATTTAGAAGACATTTTCAAAGTCTTAATAATTATCTTCAAGACTATTCCCGAGAACTTATTATCCAGAAAATCTCTATAGACGGGTAGAAAAATCGCTAAATCAGGCGGTAAAAACTCAATGGAAAAGATTAATCTTAAAAGAAATGACCACTTATTCCGTGTAATCTCATTTGAAGTCTCGCGTGAGTCCACGAGATGTAATGGCGAGCTAATGTCGGTTTAAGATCCGTTTATTAAGTTGTATTGAGGATGTATTGAGATGAACAATCATTATTTGGACATCTCACGAGATTTCGATTGTCGGCGAGGATATTCGGTTAGAGCCTCTTCGCACACAAAGGTGATTACATTCAATGTAAAAATGAGGACAATCAAATTTAAGCGATGAATTTGCAATAACTACAGTGTGTACGGTTCGTGAATTACAGTACTGCACGAGAGTGCAAGTCTCGCGGTAGTTACAAGAATGATATAATTGCAAGAAACGCATCGTTTGGAATGTTTTTGAATCCGTCGTCTGAAACATTTTTTGCGACAACCGCAAGCTAAGTACTCTAAATCTGTCTTAAATAAATATCTATAATAATATAGATAATACAATCTAATAGCGAGCTTTCTTTTGAGACTTAAACCCTGCTGTACTCATGCGACCATTGCAGACCAAGATCATTCGGCAAATCCGTTCGTTATTCAGTCAGTTTATATTTTGAAATTGTCCCTTAAATGTTTCAGTTCATATTGATGATATTAAGCACGTTAAGGGAAAAAAGGTAAAGACTGGGGAAAAAACATTTCTTTCTTATTTTTTCATTTCAGATGAATCCAAGATAGATGAACAACTGACATCAGAGTTAAGAACGAAACATTTTTGTCTTCTTAAATGAAACCTTAACCATTGTACTGCGATAATCGGTGTCAAAGAATCTGGATATGATAATTGATATGTTTGCATTGCGAATCATTATTGTCTGACATGCGCACAGAAATAATAACTTATTAGCACCCCAATCATAACTGTCAAACTCAAATTAGCACGTGCCAAGTCTCGAGTGAAACGAGAACTGGGCAATGATCTCCGAGAGTTACTCGCGTGCAGGTCAGAGGTCGCGCTTGACCAATTACAGACATCGATGCGGCTGGTCACTTTGCCATAAACATGCGATTTATGGACCATGGGCAAGGACTTTAACGTCCGACTGGACATTTAAAAAGTTTAATTCGCCGTGTAAAAGACGCTCGCCTTTCTAATTATATCGATATGATTATTAATAAAGTTTTACGACTTTATAACGCCGCTTCAACTTTTCCGCTTTTCTTTTTATATCCTGAATCACTTTGTTTACTGTAAGCAATGACGTTTATTCTAAAGTGTTTAAGTTATAAGTGGAAGAAACTTAAAATATTTCAAATTGTTATCTGAACAAATCAATAAGTACATGAATTATGTTTATAGATGCGCACAAATATTTGTGCATATGGAAAGAACATGTAGATGAACGAGAAATACATATAAAGTTTAGTGTCCTTGTAATATGTACATTTTTATGTAATTTACAAGCGCTGTTTGCAGTGAATATTATATTCGTTGTAAAGATACTAAGATACTAAGAGTAAATAAGCTAAAATGCATTAAAGAATATTCATTTCAAAGACAAACAACAAAATGAAATCAAACTTTGTCTAATTGCGTCATTATAAATGTTTTTTTAACGTTTCATTTTTTTTCCGTTTCTTTTCTATGCTTTCTCCGGTTTTTTTCTTAATATTTTGATATAAAGAGAATAACAACAGCTGCACGCGCTCTCACAAGATCACGTGAAAGCGTTGGTCACTTGTCGCCGATGGATATTTGTTCCAGCTACTGACCAATGTTAACATTTGCTAATGGAGCAGAAACGAAACTGAATGACACATCAGTCCAGTAAATTAAGTCTAAAAATTATAGGACGCGTAAAATAACATGGCACCGTATGACAACACCCGCGGCAATAATTTTCTGTATTTTACAACTTTTGTTTATTTTCTCAATAATTAGCCATATTTTTCTTTACGATTTTTCATAAAAGTTAATAATAAGCATATTACGTAAAGCGATAACTTTCGATAAGTTTCGATAGATTGATGTCGGATTTAGTTACTTTTTAATGCACGCAACTTTTTACACGAAACTGTTTTTTTCTTATCTTAATGCTAATCATTAATAATGACAAGGAACTCTTGTTTCTGTACGAATAGAAGGACATGATACAGTGTTCAATATAACAACGACAAGTCTTTTATCTAAAAGTGGATAATGTAATATATTCAATTTTAATAAGGGCCTGTCCATCCTGTCAGACAGTGAGGGAACCAACCTCAAATATGTCACTTGGCTTATCTAATATTTCCATATAAGCCACGAAAGAGAACGGCGGTCGAGTGATTGACCTTGGGATCGTAGATTCGAGCCCTACTCGGGCACGACCATATTTCCTCATATGACACCAATAGAATGGTAAGTTACGAAAGTTGCAATACTTTGTTTCACAGTCGAGCTTGAGTTAAATTATGTTTAAGCTCAACTAATAGCGTGACAGTGAACTATAATAGCCATACATGACCTGCTCGGAAAATATCTGCTAAGATATCTATCTAAGTCTAAGAAATAAAACCTTCCATCCTGAATATTCTCAACGACGTGCCAAGCGAACTGGCTATTTTTATAGTTTATAAAGTGTTTTATTCTAGAAAGCAAATGGTACGTTACGCGTGTTCTTGCAGACAGAACAACATGCTAATTAAAGAAGTACAGAAACAAGTTTCCATATATCATAACCATTTCTTTATTGTTTTTCATAACTGAGAAAAAAACAGGACAGACTGTTGACTCTGGAACAACGGTAAATATCAATTCTTTAAGCGAAATCTGACAAATGCAACGACAGTCAAATCGTATCTCAGAAATCCAACAGGGCGGAAGCGGAACACAATAGAGATATTCCGCATGAAGATCAACCTTTCATATCTCCAGACTTTGAAGAGCTTCCAGGAAGATTCGCACGAGGAGTTGAACGGTATTTGACATATTCAAGATGACAGTTGGTGAAATGATGAAGACGTACAGAAAAAGCCAGAGTTAGCAAGTGCAAACGTTTCTATCCGATACGTCAGTCAGATAAGAAGGCATAAGCGTGTCATGAACAATTGATTTTTAAGAGTTTAGAGCATTTAATCTGACGATTTTTTTTCTAAAATTTGCTTTCCAGAGGTTTCTCGTAGGTTTATTCAGACTAAATTATTCTAACATGTTGTTATCTAACATTAAAATTTTATTTTGCTTTAGTTTATAAGAATTTATTTTAGGTCGGTTGTGTTGGAAGCTATAATCTATATGAAACACTCTCGAATCCGTTCCAGGAACCAACCAGAACTAATTAAGCAATGAATGTAAAGTTTCTTGCTCAAAGGAACAACGACTTGCTATTGACGGGGTTTGAACCAATGCGGCTAGCAATCGTTAGATTACAAATCCGACGGATTAACCACTCGGCTACGCCGCCACTCAATTTGTTTGCTAACATTTAATGCCGTTGTTTCTTCATTTTTACGGAGTTTTTGTTTTTATTCTCATTATTTCAAAAGATACAGTGACAGAAGGCATATCAGATATGTAAAGGAAGTTGATAATACCTTGTGTAGACTTCCAGTGTGCATGTGGAGATTCGAACCCACCCTTTCCAAAGCCAGCAATGCCTGCTGGATAACCTGAAAAAAATGATAGAAATGTATGCTTAAATAAATGTTCTTACTGAACATTATTTTTTAAAAGAACATCTCAGAGAAGGAAAATATATATATATTCAAACATCAGCAATATTGTGAAACATTTATTTCCTGTTTCCTTTTACGAATGACGAGTTTCTGATATAGTTTTAGTCTCAGATAAGTTTATATCGCATGATTTATCTGGCACTTATATCGAAAGTATCGATACTTTACGATTAAAATCGAAGCAGATTTGAAAACTATTTTCACAATGATTCAGACAACACGACACATATAAATTACAAACTTTTAAGATATGTAAGAGGAGGAAACTGGTAAACTCTATATGTAATTAATAATATTGATACTAACACTAAAAAAAAATCTTATACAATGAATATCTAGGTGAATCTGGCAATCGAATGAAAAACAATCAGTAGGACTATAGTTAAACTCGGCACAAAGTAAATTTTAGCGGCAAACATGAAAAAAATATCATTATTATTATTTAATTGTTCAGCAATCAAAAATGGGAAAAGCCTGCTCATTTAAATTGACTACTTGAATTATCAACCGTTTAGAAATTTAATAACAGTATCCGATAACCATCTAATATCCCCTACAAAATTGACGATGTTAGATTTATTTGCGCTATTGACACAAAGTGGTGTTATTTAACCCAACGGTCCAATGAAAAGTAACGCAAAGGCGATTGATCCAGCGGTTGAAGGGATGAAATTATGTGACGGGGTGAGGCGCTGCGTAATAAACAATCTGATGGCATCTTAATTTTTCAACATTTTACAAAATGGTTTCCATTTTAATAAACAAAATAACGAAAATTTTACCATCTGTACAATGTTGCTACAAATGACTTAAAACGGATAATGATTTTCTAACCAATTATTACAATTTACATACAGAAAATCAATTTTATCATGACCTATATGTTCATATAATCATAAAAATGATTTAGGGCACCTAAAATCTTTACATCATACAGGTAAAAAACTAGTTCCAAAAAAAAAACAGCATAGAAAAAAGCATTAATATCAAGTTCAACTAACCAGTAAACAGAATAATGTTATAGAAATGTAACATTTTTAATCAAATTGACATCACGGTGAAAGACGTGACAAACGTAACTTTAACCACGGATTTATATTACAATAATAATATAAATCCGTGCTTTAACGTGTAACTTATGTTTCAACGTCAGCTGAAGAATCATAGCTGTCACGGTTATATTTTTTTTAATACAATGTATTATTATTATTTTAATGTAATTTATATATTGATTTAAATAATTTCTAAAGTAAGCTTTTGAAAAAATGGCAAAAGTTGAAATAATTAAAGTCCTTGATATACGTGTGATGGTTTTAAGGCGTTTCAAACGCTTTACTCTTCATACATCGTTGTAACATAACATTATACAACAATATACCCAAGGCTTGAATATCTGAATTCTCATAAATTATTTTCAGGAAAAAAAGTTAAATGAACAATAAAAACTACACGATATTTATAAATGCATATATACATGTATATAAAAATACAAAAAAGAAAACGAATTTAGTGAACTAGACAATAGCACATGTAACATGAAAAAGTAGGTCTATTTTTTCCTACGCACAAATATCATACTTTCAGTTTCACTTGACACTGTTTTATGAAACCTGCTTTAAGACAAGGAAGAAAATACACACATATAGTTTACAGGGGCTGTTAAAATAACTACATAATATGATGACTATATTAACTACCGAGTGTTTTCAAAAGCACTTAACGCCGCGGGTAGCTTATTCTTTTGATGTACTTGTTTTTTTTGTGTGTATCATATATGATTTTTCAGTATGGTGTCATATAATGATGAATAAACAATAAGCATGTATAAAACAATAGATATGAATGAATAATATGAAAGTTAAATCACATAAAAAATGAATAGTAAATGTGCATATAAAACGTTGTATCAACAATAGAAAAAATGCTTTCATATATATATTTTTTTAATTTATACTATTATTATTTGCTGTCAGAACCTTTATAAGTTTGATAGGTTTATTCTACCATATGGTCCATGAAAATGACAAGACTGTGTTTAACAACATATACATATAATATTTATAGTAGAGAAAGTATATACAAAATTGTATGTTATTATTGAAAATAACTACCAAAAAAGTCGTTAAACTACAAGCATATAATTGAGCCGCGCCACGACAAAACCAACATAATGGGTGTGTGACCAGCATGGATCCAGACCAGCCTGCGCATCCGCGCAGTCTGGTCTGGATCCATGCTGGTCGCAAACCCATAATGTTTGCGCGGCTCATATAATGCTAAAAATGAATAATATATGAGAGGATAGTATGGTATATGTTTATTACCTGGTGGTGGACTTTGTTGAGGGGACCAGGACTTGCCGAATCCCGGCTCTGCAACATATATAATACATATATTAACATAGCAACACAATGTAATGAAATTTATTTTGCATTTTAGGTTTTCGAAATTGATGGAAATATTATGTCAAGTTAGAAAAGCCTACGGTATAAAACGAATTTGATTCCTAAAAACGTGATCAAATTTAGAAAATGATTATTTTAATTATGATGTTTTTATGAACATAAGTATAACTATATTATGCAAATTGTATATTTTCTTTCAAGGTATTTTTTTTAGTTTATAGATAAGTATAATTATGGATATAATTATAACACTGTAAATTTTCTACAGTTACAAAATGCAAATGTCTCATTCTATATTTATACTGGAAAAAAAAGATATTTTAAACCATTCCGATTCCTCCTGAAACAGATTAAACAGAAGAAAATCTCATGCACTTACCAGGTAGCATCAGTCCGGGAAATCCGGAGGTATACGGACATTGCCGAAGATAGTCGGATGGTGATAGAGCATGCACATGCAGAGAATCGTCAAACTTCCGTTCATAAAATTTCATTGTCATCGTTTATTTATTTTGTTATATGTTAATACTCTTCACGACACTGTCGTCAACCATGATATATTATATGTTTCCGTCTACATTCATTTAGTACTCAAAGTTTTCTATTTACGTTTTTTTTTGTTCCTTAACAAATGTTAACAATAAAGATGTATACACTAAGTCCAGTAGTTAGTTTCAGTTTTGCAGAAAAATAAGCAGATGACAAATTAATCATTCACGTGTCAATTTCCTTTAGAAACAATCAATGTTCACACCAGAACTGACTTTAAGAATGCGTTTGCTTATTATTACTTAGTCGAGACGGCCATATTCGTGAGAGGTTTATGCATTCTGTCGCGCGCAAAGAGTTATCCAATCAGTAGTCAGGAAGTCGTTTCTATCAACCAATATTTACTCGAGAAGTCATTTACTGCGGGATCGATACTGCCCAATATAGAGAGATTTCGCAGCTTTTTGCAGACCGCAATTATTTGTTTTGCCGAAATAAAAGGAACACTTTATACGAAACGCCGTCCCTGTCAGCTGATGTCTGTCAAATCAATTAGGTATAAAACATCTAATGTTCCCGCAATTGCCGAATATATACTACCATAAAATCCAGAGTGGCCCTTAAAAATATGTTAATCCTTTGATAAGACCTTGCTGCACACATTTATTTCTAAATAAGATATTTAAGTATTTATGACGTGTACATTTTCATTAATAACATCATGAAAAATATCCGTGGTAGATGATAGTATATCTTATGAGATAAGCCCTGGAAAAAAAGAATGTTCCTATTATCTAGCGCACTTCTGGAACTGACGCGGTCTTCGTGACTGATCTTAAATTTTGTCACTTTATGAAATTCAGAAACTGCCATTTTTACATGTATGATCAATATAAAGAATAAAACTGCGTGCAGGAACAAGCAAAATGTTTTACTTCGTTCTATGGAAACTCTTCAGAGTGCCGGAAATGAGGTTTGTCGAACCGGAAATTTGCTCGGAATCCGGAAGATGCGGAACTATGGGACGGAAAATGGCGGATGTAACAAATCACCGTTAAAGTCAATTTTGCGTGATTCATAGAAAACTGTTGAATTTTTCCCCTTCAAAAACTTGTAGAAATTTCAGACTTGTTTATGCTTCGGCATTAAACATTATTATGGTTTTTTTTATTTATCTGATTTTACTTTGGAAACATTTGCTGTCCCTGTCATTTTAATGGGATATTTCCGGGAAAAGTATTCAAAGTAAAGTTCGATACTTTTAAAGTTATCTTGTATTGTTTGCAATGATAAATTATGTTCTGAGGATATGTATTAAATTTTAAAAACAATGAGCAATGAAACAAATAAATAAACATATGTATGATGATACAACAACGCTCTGACTACAGAATAAACTATTTTCTCTTACTGTATTGTTTTTAAATAAAAATGCATTATTACCATTGTTAATATCATTATTTTTCTATAACCATTTGTTTAAAATATCTAAAAAAATACATGTATATTACGTTTTATTTATTTTTTAATCTGGCTTCAAAAAAAATTCCAATTATATTAGTTTACATATATTTATTTTTAGTTTCATTGTGATGAAAACTTGTCATTTGAGTAGTTTTCATGGAACTAACCAGTGCTGGTGTCATATGACGAACATGGACGTGACTAGAGTAGGACTCGAACTCATGATTTCTGGGTTAAGTGGCATTGTAAGTATATCAAGGAACAAAATTTCTGTCTGTATTTTACAATTTCAATCAGACTTCCTTTGGTGTGATATATAGAAAAAACTGTGCTTAATACCACCTCTGTTTAAAGACCGCACAGAAGAAAAGGAACAAATAGCTTCCTACTCAATCCGTAAATTTTATTTTATGTACTTTATTATGTAAATGTATGGATTATAAATAAAATATTGTTTAAACTAAACATTTAAGACAAAAGCATTCTTATTTTAACTTTGAAATATGATGCAAAATTACAATTTTTGGATATATCACATGTATCAATTAAAGCAGCATGCATTTTGTAGATAATATCTGTCATTTTTTTATTTAATATATCTACTTGCAATGTAGCAGAACGATGGCTTGACATCGATTGCAATTGTAATGAAGCAATTCCATGTCAGCTCTTATATGTTCATAAAATGACTCTATACTTTATTCTAATAACTTCCGGTTAAATGGTGTCAGTAACAATTTAGTGCGCAACACTTGTAAACTGAGAACATATCATTCCGCCATTCATTGATTAGAGGAACTACTTTTTTATCCAACATGCAACTTAATTCTGATCGAAGAAAAAATAATTATGCACGTTGTAAACAAAATAAATAGCATAAACCGCCAACTATTCGCCCCGTCCCCTAGCTGTTTCAAATTATAAGCAATACGAAATGACCATCAAAGACCAATCATTACATATGTTATATAATAGATAGATAAAAATGGTGCTGATATAAATAAGTATTAGTATTTCAATACAATTATTTTTCATCATAAAAACATGTTCTAACAATATTAGGATTTCCTCCTATTCTAAACCATACATAACGTGAAGACATACAAAGAAAAACATCTGTGTCTACTACAAGTTGTATTTAGAAACAAAAAGAAGTGTGTAGGACTTCTTTTGATAAAGGAAACATTTAGAAAATCAAGGAAAAGTGAAAATGTAAAACAAAAATTATTTCATACATTACTTTATAAAATATAAGAGCAATTTACGTGTCGTGATTGCTCATTTACTTAAAAACAATACAATTTCTGATTTTGTAAATATAAGTGAAATTCGGACTCAATATTGATCTGTCTACATGTTTTGCATTAGAAACGATATTTTTCTGTTAAATGTATCTGTTATTTCCAATTCGATTTTTGTTCTTTCAAAAAGACAATCAGACTTTCTTTTCAGCAGCATGTATAGAAATTCATATAAAGTGAATCAGTAAAACTATTTACTCATCGACTAACTTTGTCATCCAATTTCTTTTTCATTTTATTTGTAATGTGGTGAATGTCTATTTAATATATTCATTTGGAATTTTATTTCCCCATTTACTCTTTAAATAAGTGATCGGCAAACATCAAAAGTCAGATCAATCTATGACAATTTTGTTTCATTTCCGATCAAAGTGGTGCGTTAATTTCCCGCTTTCCGCTGGTAAATTTTACTTTCAGGAAAATCTGTGAGAATCAAGCAGAGCTGTGACGGTGACAACAATAACACAAATTTTACAATACCAGACATGTTTGCCGTCAAAACAAAAAATAAACACGTCCTTAAGTAACGATATATTTGTCCTTGCTACCTTAAATAAACATAAACATACCAAATCAAAAAGTTGATACTTTTGATGCAAATACAAGACTGAACTATTCAAATATAATGAATACAATAACCAAAGTTTCTTAAACAAACTATCATTATTTCAATCGAGTTTGCCACCATGAAATTGTGCGTTCTTTAACTCTACTCGATTTTTCACAGATGTGAAAAAAATTAAAGGACCGATTATGAAGGTTTGCAAACAAAATTTCAGCGCGATAAGCCGATTTTGCATCACGGCAAAGAAAGATCAATAACGCTAACTTGGATCTTTAAAACTATGTATATTAGTTTAAGGAATGTATCCTATTTTCATATAATAAATTCAGATTACTTTGTCTCGTATTTGTGGTTAAAGGAACCGTTATTTGTCTAAAGTACCGCTGTTTCCGTTTTCACACATGTTGAAAGAAAATTTTCCGTGGAACGAACTCGCTGACTTTTTGCCTCCATTAAAGGAATGCTGGATTAAAACACAAAATGGCCTACATCTTAAAGGAGGCAGATTAAAAACTTCAGTTCCTTAAGATAAGGTCAAATTGCAGAAATACAGAATTAAAGTTGCATTTTCTTTTTGTTAATGATATTGTTTCGACGTTATGAGGCGCATTTTACATCATTCGTTCAATACTTCAAATAGTTAGGACTTAAACAGAGCTAAATTTATTCTTTACTTCCTTTATTTGCGTGTGTATGTGTGTGTTGTTTTATTTACAAATCGTATTATTCAGTATTTACTGTTTCTTGTTTATACATATATGACCTAAAAAGCATGCAAACACCTTACCTACACACGGAAATCAGATTTCATGTTTATTTGCATATAAAGTATACTTTTGACAACTTACAAATATAGAAAGGATGGTCAAGATCACAAATACATACAATATATATGCTTCAAATATATCTACTTACCAAATAATGTGGGTTTTTTTTGAAAGTGTGATATAAATATTGGCCATCGTCCCTTTAACGATGGTCAATCTTTCTATTATTTGAAACAAATAAAAATTGTAATGAGTTATATACCGAATTTTTAACGTATAATAAATACACCATGTATATCTATGTGAAAATAACGCACAATTCGTGCAAAATGTAACGCAGAATTCTGCAATAAATGGCGGATACCTGGCAAAATTTCCAACGCGGTAAGAAAACTGGTCAATATAATTTTCATTTAACCAAACTGGAAAAAATGAATAGCCGCATGCGTTATTTTCACATTCCAGCGTCACTGGATATACACGGTGAAATAGGTTGAGATGAAATTACTTAGTCTTTCGTTCTTATACATGATTTTTGATAACTTGAATGCATTCAAGATAGTTAATATCTAATCGAAACATATAAACTATTGTAATAACCCGATGTAACCTTTCAGATATTTGAGACAGAAAATGCCAAAAACATTTCGGAAATGCATAGCATGCTCTCATTCTAAATCTACAGAAATAAATCAATAATGCCATAAAGAATTCAATACTAAAGTATATGTACAACATTCGAGAAGTTAGAAGCTTGATTTCATTTTATGATAGATTTTTTTACCAATAGAATAATGATAGTTCATTCAGAGATATAGGAATTTTAAAATAGTATGGCAGAGGCATTTCGTGCTAAACTTACCTGGTCCTGAAGTTGACGGCGAGGTGCCATCATTCCCTGCTTTGTAAGCTGCAAAATATATGATTATATAAATTTTATAGAATTTCTTTCAACGAAAAGACGTAATAGTTTGGTGTGCAGTAATAAGTCAAAGTCAGGTTACATATATCAGAAGTTAAAATAAGAATAAAAATCACTGAAAAATCAATACTTTTCAGTCACACAAAAAATTCTAACACTATTAAATTATGATTTTCGTAAGAAACTAGACTTAGTCTATGTGACAACCCAATACCTTGTACCTCCGTATGGCAAAACAGACGCTTACAATGCAAAACGAACGTTTTAAAAACATTTCTTATCACGGATGGGAAACATTAAAACATCCAGATGTACGATGTCGTTGAACAAAGAGCAGTTGAAGAGAATAAAAATAATTATGTTCCATGTCGGCATGATACATTGTACTATGTCGAATGAAAACATTTTTGCGACACATTGTGGTTATCTACCTTTTCAGTCTCTTTATAAAGAAATATTTCAGGCTGTAGTGTTTATTATCATAACTTACATTCTCTCAGATATTCCAAATGATGCATCAGCTTTTCTGCAGCCTCGAATTGACCAGTGGCTTTCACAAACTGATCACGTGGCATGTTACATAGCTCGCGTCCGTTAACATTTGGGAATTTCCCAACGTCAATGACGTCATATAGACTGTACTCCCCGATGGTCCATTCTAACCATTCCTTCACGTGACTAACTGTCCAACGCATTGGGTCTATATCAATTATGTAAATCAGTCAATTAGAGTTTCAAGTGATAAATTAAACTATTTCTACTGTTATGACAAACACAAAATAATATTTGCCTTTTTATAAACAACATATTTTTTAATGTCTGTTAAATGCTACAATTGTATGCACCCCTTACTTCAAGAAACAGTCGAATTCATATAAAGTTTTCAAATGCCAATCTGAGCTTTAATGTTTTTCATAGCATGATTCTGTTCGAATATATGATGATTTGTGTACATTTTAAAGTGGTGATATAAAAAGGATTTTTTTAAACATCTGTTTAAGACAGCAATATCTTGTCAGTATGAAACAGGAATAATAATAAAAAATAACCAAGACGGTGGGAATTAGTTGGTTATTTCTCAAGACGTACTGCGAAGTTTAAAATATCAATTAAAGAGGATTGCTTAATTGTTTTAGCCTGTTTAGGAATGCATTTTATATCATACCCTATTTTCGTCTTTGGTAAAAGTGAAGAATTAAGAATTAAATTAACAAGCCAGATGAACATAAAAAAATCAATATTGGAAAAATATTCCTGATTGAATTACAAATTTGTACCATAAATTTACTGTCAACAATTTTTTTTCTTTAATGATTTATATGAACATTTGACAATTATAAACACGTGGCAAAAAATGTAAACAACTTTGTCTCATTTGGTGGAATAATTCACTTTAGTGAATTCAATCAAATTTATTAACCGAACATGCAAAACAGATTTTCGATTACTTGTTCTATTTCCATTATCAAATCTCACAATCTGTGAGTGTTTGTTAAATTGGCCGTAAAGTGGCAACATTACAATGGATATCGTTAGACCTACATTTAGAGCGCGACATCGGAACGTGCAGCTTTATTTACGACATGTTTTAGCTTAAGGTGAAAAACTAATATTAATTTTCTCATTGTGATGGTTTTCTGAACAATAATAATGTTTCATCCATTTTAAGCCAAAAAAAGGAGAGTTTCCAACTTTCATAATATTACCAAAGTCTGCTGCGTGACATTTCACGAGATAATAAAGTAAACATTACGTTACAAAAAACTGGGTTTTTTATTTTTAACAAAAAAAAATCAAATGTGATTATATCCTTTTACTTCAAGTTCAATGTCCAAATATGTACCATTTGTCCAAACATAATTATGTGGGACCAAAGATTACACATGAAAATTGAACAACATGTATAAAGACCAAAGTGAGATAATGAGATAATAAGCAGAATATATTCTTTATAAACCAAACTACATGTGTTAAAATTTAAAATGAAAACGCACGATGAACATTCGACAAATGAGCTGCGTCACGACAAAACCAACATAGTGCGTTTGCGACCAGCATGGATCCAGACCAGCCTGCGCATCCACGCAGTCTGTTCAGGATCCATGCTGTTCGCTGTCAGTTTCTCCACTTGTAATAGGGTTGGTAAGCGAACAGCATGGATCCTGATCAGACTGCGCGGATGCGCAGGCTGGTCTGGATCCATGCTGGTCGCAAACGCACTATGTTGGTTTTGTCGTGACGCGGCAAATATGTAAGGCTTCATTGTTTATCATTCTTATAAACAAAAAATTACACGATTTGCAACTTTTTCAGTCTTCATGATTATGGACAATTGTTTGTTGGTGAAACGCTGCAAGAATATTATATTGCCAGTCTTACTAAAAATTCAAGATATTTTAATAACTAACAAGAACAAAGTTTCGAAAATTCAGATTTATGAGAAATCTATGTCAGATGCTTTTGAGGCTAAATGATACATACGAAATATAATAAAATATATTAAAACAAGAATTACCTGCAGGGACTACAACTCGTTTTGGCTTTCTTATAGACTGAGCAACAAGAGTATCTTGGTTTTGATTAGTAGCTGATGGAACTTTGAAATGGCCTTGACCTGTATGTGCGCCATCTTGTTTGGCTACTCCAGGATATGACGTAGATGCACAGGAAGCTAAGTATTGCTGGTGAGCTTCATAGGCCGCCATTTCCTCAGCATCTGCTTGCACAGGAAGCATGGGATCTGTTGGCCCTCTTGACTCGGTGTCAGGAAAGCTTTGTGCCTGAACACCAAACTGTCTTTCATATTTTTCATATTCAGCATATGATGAAAAGGTAGCGTAATCACTACATGTAGCACCTGTTGAAATGCCTGTTACTGGTGTATAATAATTCCAGGAAGGGGGACCTGATTGTGCTTGTGTAACAATGTCGCTGGTTTCCGACTTTACTGAATTAGAACGATATGATTCTGCTATAGACCTATTATTTGGTGACATAACGGTTGAAATCTGATTTACTTCACCAGGCGATTGGTATGAAACTGTGGTCTTTTGATCCATGGGTCCAGAAAAAGTTCCCTGAGGGTAACAAGGCGGAGGTTCTTGATAAGTCTGGGACAAATTCGTATTTTCATTTTCTGATATGTTCTGTGTGAACGCTGGGTAGATTCTTGCGTTGCGTACTGCATAGTCATAACCTGGTGGAAACGATCCATTACTACTACCACAGGAACTATGGGAAGAATTGGTATCATTTTGTTCAGTCACCGGTGTAGGAGTATGTTTCATATATGATTTGGAATGTAAATTAGGAACTTCTAATATTCCACCAGACGTCAAAATCTGACCTTGTGTTTTCTCGCAAGAATCATGGGTATGTTCATGAGTTGGTGACAAAGGGCTAGGTGACAGTACATTGCTTTCCGAAACTGAATCATTAACTATGTCATTATAAACTCTTTCCCCTACCTCTGTGTCTGTCATACTATTATCATAAGCTCTTTGCAGTAGATCTCGTGCTTGGACTTTGGGGGATACTTCTGCATCAGTATCTTTTTCCAATGTAGTATCATCATATATCATATTTCCCACTTGCTCGTTTACTTCTTCACCACCCATCGCTATGATTTTATCTTTTTCAGCAGGCTCTTCTGCTTGTTCTGAATAAGTGTTGCATAATGGTTGTTCAACTATACATCCTGTTTCAACTAACGGTTCTTTGTTTGTCTTCTGCTGTTCATCATCGTCCGTATTACTGATACTTATACTGGTTTCATTATCGGCTTTATCAGAGGTGCTGCTTTCATCTATACATGCAACGCTTGTGGCGAGTATATCGTTCCCAGTTGCTCCTGGACTAATTGTGTCGTCTGCTGAAACTTCATGGTCTGAAATATTGTATTTGTCAGCTTCGTCATCGTCACATTGAGCTATGTCACGATTTGTGAGATCATCCGGAGCAGGATCATGGTTAATTTCAACCGATTCAAAAATGACAGACCCTGACTCTGTTTGGGAAAATACCTACAAATACACCAAGAACTTTTCAAAACAATGCCCGTCCTAGTGATTGTTTTAAAGTCAACTTTTAACAAAGAAATATAAATATAACCTTTACACTTTTTCTCTTTTATTCAATCATTGTGTGCAGATAGTGATAAAGTGTGGTGAAGCATGATTGAACTCGCTCAGTAATATGCAATGATTTTTATCAACATAAATATAGGGTACTAGTGGAACAATAAATAATACACGAATACTGGGAGCAAATATAATGGTCGCATAGTATCCAAATTGTTTAAGGTGTCACCCCAGTACGGAATTAGACCCAGCCCGCTGTAGTCTAGAAAGTAGTTCTTTTAAATTTTGAAATGGCCTATTTTAAGTCATCGAAATTGATACTGTTTTAAGTATATCTTTAGTAATTGTGTACATGAAGTTTCATTTTTGAGTACTTTAAAGGTTGTTTTTGATGTATTTTTGCAGCATTTCATTTCTGGGTGGATGGTTTCAGGAGGTACTATGCACAAGAATACACACCAGTTACTATTTGGAATATTCTATAGTGATAACATAAATTAAAAGCTGCAGAAAAATTCTGAGTGCTAATGTATTATGTTTTTTTGTGCAAAATTTACTTGGACTGCATTGGTGTTTAAACAAATGGCCATGAAGTTCCGGTACCGGATATGCTTTGTCCAGAATTTAGCCTTAAATGTGATGGATTTACTATGTAGGATATATAGTAAGAAAATTCAGTGGGCCGTCTCCTTAAGGTTCATCAATAGTTGTTATTTTGTCGGAACCTAATTTTATTTATTTATACATGTATTTATACATGTCCTTTACACAAAAATAAAGTTTTATGAAATATATCGCAACTGAATTTGACAAAGTTCTAACCATATAGTGCCCCACTCGTGAAACTAGTTTTAATTTGCAGCTGCATCCGGTTTATTATGTACATCTTCTAAGATTCCGTAAGTTAATCATTTGGAAGGAAAATAAAAAGAATGTTGAGAACTCATTTTGTTTCTATAGGTCATCCGTCTAATTTATTTAACACATTTAGTGCCTTTTTATCATTATCTCCATTATTATCCCTTGCAACAACTTTGCAAATTTTAAAAGCATCAGTATACTTCTTTCTCCCAATATAAAACACCGGAAATTCATAATGCACTCAACATACTTCAATCTTCATTCCATTTATGTTCTAACATTTATTTGGGGGAGAAAATAACCCACAACAAAACGATACAGTATCAGAAATAAGCAATATAAGGCGACCTTCCCACATAAGAAGTAAAAGTAACAAAATTTATTTACCTACATACAAATACAATGTAGTTTCGTACAAATGTAGTTACTTATTTATTCCAAAATAAATAAATAATATGTCATATCTGTTAAAATAACCATTATTTAGGCCGAATTCCAATGACTGCGCACTATTTCTGACAATTTAAGGCAAAACTCAAGGAGAAAAGTTTAAAAAAATAAAAGGAAATAGATGTTACGACATAAATTACCAATGCTCAATGATTTAGGAAATATTTAGCAAATGCTGTTCTGAAGCAGGAAACATTAACAAATGTTGGCATCCTTAAAGCTCGTATTTTTAATTTATGATTTCCTAATAAACTAAGCGACCGGTTATTCGAGGCGCGTCTTGTTTCCCTTTCAGAATGGCCTTTATGGGAAATGACAACTTAACTTAAAACAATACAGTTTCCTTTTTTTCCTGAACGCACTTCATATGTGTCATACGGCGTTATACATTCTGCAAGCAATGAAGAAAGTGAAGCATAAAAAACAAAATATTGCAATAAAATGAAAGTTTAGAATAAAAATATTACCGTTTCTTTATGCTGTATATCCATCTCTTATTTCCTGTTCGAGTGAATATTTTGAAACAATGTACTGCGAACAAGCAAGCCTTCCATTGTAAGTACATGTATATATCTAGACGAACAATCTTTATGTTGTGTGCTGATAAAAGTTTCATTCTCTAAAGTAAGTACTTACAAGTGGATCACTATATGACGAGGTTACGGAGAACCGGAAAACGGCACTTGTCGCAAAAGGACTACGCAGCTTATATCATGAATCAACAATATGTACAAAAGACGCTTTAAACTCACTATGTGATCTGTGTCTCCTAAACGACTGGTTTATGATGAGGAGACTGAATAGATTGTTTTCTTATAAACAAAAAGGATGTAAAAAGAACAATGATCTGTAGGGGAATGTTGGCAAACAAAAATAACACTTATCACGGCCACAAAATACTGCCCCTATGAAATGCGTCAACAAAATAACAAATAACATTTAATATTATTTTGCATGATCCGACTTTTTCCCAGATAAAGTGAATAAAATATTAAGTAAGTTTGCAACAACACCTGCCTTTGATATGTACATGTATTCCTCTCAGGTGGATATCATGGTTTTATGTTCTATTATGACATGTCTTATAAGGCCATACATATATCTAACGTAAAACATACTATGGGCCGGTTTCTAACAATACAAAAAATATTGAAAAAGATGCCTTTTCTGTTTGAATAATCATATTTTAGGCCGAATTTTCATGACTGTGCATTATTTCTGAACATTCAGGATACGATGAACGAAAAAAGATGAAAAAATAATAGGAAATACATGTAGTTACGACATTAATTACCAAAGCTACTTTTAAAGGTATCCTTTTTAAATTGTATAAGTATTATGATTGTATATAAAGAAGACAGTTCCTAATTTTAGGATATTCTAATCATGGCAGGAGTTGAGTTTATATTAAAATCTTAGAAATGGGTGATCCATCGTAAGCAATGAATAAACAGTATTAATTTAAAATTGCAGACTCGGTTTCATTGAGCCTGTTCATTAGAGATAATGAAAAATCGCAACGTCATTCACGACCCCACCCCGCCACCCCCACCCAGCACTCCCCCCCCCCCCCCACGCACCGACTTTAGCGGTGTTCATTCTTCAACACTAAATGCGCTGGAATCAATGTTTCCGAAGGACCAGAAAAGTATAACAACACCAGCATCTTTCTGCAACTGCCGCATGGCACTTCACATTGAGTTTTTCTTCATAGAGAAAACATAAGCTGTCGAGTTTAAACTGCTTAAATACTAAATATCAATTTCCAATTTAATAATTATAAAATTCTAAAACTGCATCAATTCATCAAACAAACTAAAACTTTTGAATAAAACATACATACATGTTTATAATTTGTTTCTGAACAATAATCTCGATCGACATATGAAGTTACATTAAGTTAGGGAATATTTTTTAAATATTTTTAAACGACCTGTTTTCTTATGTATAGGAAAATCTAGGCAAGTGCTCATACTATGACTACAAACGTGTTTCTTAAATCATGGTAAGCATTGCATAAAGAATTAACTAAAAACCGATTTCGATTTCAGGGTAAGAAGATAATTAGTTTTTTAATGCAACAAACAAATTTCACTTCTACCAAGGCTGCTTCTTTTTCTTGATACGAAATACAGAGACTTAATTCTCTTATAATTAAAGCCAATCTGGTCTACATGAGTGATGACAAGTCTTCGAAAATAAAAAATTGAAGAAGTATAATGTAAACGTTTGGAAATGATAAACCGGTTGCTAAGTAACAGATAATCGTATAAGTTTGACCGTATTGGCATATTAACAATCTATTTTCTGCATCTATTTTATGAATCATATATGACCATATATCAACATCGCGAACAGACAGACATATTGGACATTTAGAGAATATATTAGAAATTCTTTTTGAGGACGTTTGGAACATATTCTATTCAATTTCACACTCAAATGGTTGTTGGAGATTTTATATATATAGGAAATATTACACACAGTTTTGTTACATAAATCACTTGACGAGATGACATGTGTTTTCTGATTTTCATGGAAAAACACACATCATGTCTTAAAAGAGAGAAGAAATATTGTTAAGTGTACTGTTTAATATATAAATCAACCATTATAATACGAATTTTACACTTATATAAAAAAAAAAATCACTCGAATGACGTTTTCATCTTACAGTTGATGAAGTGGCTCAAATGTCGAAGTGGTATTGCACTTATGATATAACCACTTATCGGGCCTAAAATGAATTATACTGAAATTTACTTTACTAGCGATTTTGACAATACCATTTGCCTTGTTCGCTTAACACAAATCTTGAAAAATTGGAAAGATTCAACTATGAAAGACCGAAATATCAAAATGAACGTAAATAAACTGACGCTATTATTTTATGCGGGAGTCACGTGTATTTGGTCGTTCATTGAACTCCGGAACTTCGTTTCTCCTTTAAAGAATCAATAAAATCATGCTGAATCATTTTTTAAATATTTCTTTTTGATTCAATGCCGAAAGATAAGATAGATTAATAACCTCTAGAATGAGTTTATTTGATGATGTTTCACAGTATATTCGTTCAACAATGTTAGATGTAGAGGTGCATGACTTGACTTTCCTATATATAATTTCCCGCTTTATTATTTTTTGTGTTTGATATTTACTCATTATTGTTTAGTTAATAAATGTGTATATTTGAACATCATAAGTTACAGAACTACTTTTTGTATCGCCTCTACTACATAAAAAACAATATTTTAAAGAAACTGTTCACATGTTTATTAAGATGAAAGGTGTCATTGTAACACAAGTATGTACATGTACATGTATAGTATCACTCCACTTACCCATAATTGTTTTGTGCACTTACCATTGGATAATACTGAAAGAATATGACTACATTGTTGGACATAAGCTGAACAATACAAATTGTCCAGAGATTTGATAAAACACGTACATGCGTGATAAATGAATTTTGTTTCTTCATTTGTTGCAAAAAGAAAACAAGAAAACGTGTCTTAAACACTTTTTATGGTTTTAAATCATAAATATGATGCTCAAATGAAGATTTATCAATATTATAGGTTCCATAAAGCATTATTTATAAAGATATTACCGAATTTAACATTTCATATAAATAAAGGGAGGTAATAAAAAATATTTTCTATAAAGTTTAAGTCAAATTTATCAATAAGAAATGAAAGCATATATTTTAATGATTACATATAATATGCACAAATATTTGCAGTACATATTTTACATACTCTTCGATGTTTGAAATTTGTTTTATTTGCATAACTATGTACATATCTATAATTTCACTTAGTGTGGTTTACCACTTTGATGACAACATACAGGATCTTTAAATCTAAATAGAATGTATTATCATTTCAATCGACAAAAACAATAGATGTTATCATATCAAACAATTATAGATGTTATCAAATCATATATAGGATAAGTTTAATAAGTTTGTCACTTATAAAATATTTCTTATGTATACCTTATAATATATATTTTTATAGTATTCATTTTGACAATATAATCTTTTATTTAAAGATGACCTCTGCAAAAAAACTAGCTAAACTTGCTTGAATTTTATACTACGTACTGAGTACACCTGTCCGTTATGTCACTTAGCTTTAGTTCTTACTACTGACCCTTTTCTCTAAACTACAACATTGTACCTAATAAGAAATTCATCACACTTCAAAAGTTTTTTTTTTATAAAAAGGTTATCAGTCAGTTAAAATTACATAAATTATATCAACTTTTACGAGCATTAAGATTTTTCACAATTAGCCAACCAAATCCAATCATTAGTTGTTATAAGGTCATTTTTAACGATTACGAACCTCATACCGGTCTGTTAAAGTAGTATATAGTATACCATATATAGGATTTCTCATTGGTTTCTTGTGGACATGCATCATGTCCAATAACTTATATCAACTGTTTCTCAAAGCGAATTAAAGTTACTGCCCTGTCATGGTGTATCCACACAAAATCCGCCTATCAACTTTTATCCACTCCGTGATAAGTTATTTACGCGCAATTTTCACCCCAACTAGTATCATTCATTAAAAAGTCAGTAGAGTATTTATAGCTTTTGTTTAATAGAGACGTGCTGTTGATCGAGCGTATTTATTCAGCAAGTTTCTTTTTAGTTAAAGACGGTTGACATCTTGCAGGGATCCCAAGCAGCATCTTCCAAAATTTCGCGAACTAGTGATTAGGTTGTATCACGAACATCTTTGTTAAAATATCTAAGGTTACGTCGAGGAAAGCCATTGGTCTTATACCCACTGATGGTCGTCGCTTATTCAATTATACTCCGACATACTTGGCGTTGTTGGCAGTTTTAAGACACTGACCAAAGTTACGTTTGACGGTGTTCTTTGTTCGGCACGGTGCACGTGTCTGGGTTGAAACTCATCTGCCACCTGTGTTACATATTGCAGGATATATAACATACATTTTATACCATGTTACTCAACGAATGGCATTCTTTCAGAGCTCTTGCAGGTTTGGTAGATTTTACGTCGCACCAACACTGTACATGAAGGTCAGCTTGCGACTTTTCAAGATCTACTGCTGAAGAAACAATTTAGGTGCCCCTTACGTATTTTATTTGATCTAAATAGCTGACGTCAAAGTAGACTGATCAGAAAATGTTCATTTCCAATCTGATATAGACTTCTACTGGAAACATTGTCTATTAGTCTATTAGACAGGTCGTCGTTTTCTGCAAACTCCTCACAGCGATTAACTCCTTTTATTAGTACAGTACTGAAAGGGATATCACTTCGTGAAGATCACCAAACTCCTCTGCTGCTTTGGGCAAAGATAAGGGAGACCACTGTGTATGGTTTCAAGGTTTCAAGGTTTATTTGAATACGTCAGGGCCCATATGGGCATGTGACAACATAAAACAGTACATACATACAAAATAATACAAAATGGCAAATTATAAATGGTCATACAACTCCATGATGTAATAAAATTACAGTAATAATTGACTGATAATGGAGGATGAGAGAGAAAAATCAAAAATCATTGCGAGAAAAAACAAAGAGAAAAGACATAAATCTAATAAGCTAACATTATTTAAATAATAACATAATATTTTTGCAAAATATGGCAAGTTTCAAAAGGATATCTTTATTACTATGGTTCATTAATTTTTCAAATTTTAAAGCACTTGGACGTTCATAGAAATATTTATCAAGATACAGCTTTCTTGTATTAACTAAATGTGAACATTCAAAAAGATAATGGAATTCGTCGCCTAAAGAGTTACTGGTACATAGGTTACAAGTTCTAAGTTCTCTTGGAATATCATCAAACCTTCCTTTTTCAATAGGAAGTTTGTGATTCATACTTCTAAATTTAAAGAGAATTAAAGCTAAATTCATAGGTAACTTGCTGAGGTATGGCTCAAAACAAAAATCCTGTTTATAAATCCTGTAATTTAGACATTTACTGGAATTATTAATTGTACTTCTCCTATTTTGCATAAAATGATCACGCAGTCTTAAGTTGACAGTATTCTTGAATGAAGCAGGAGATTCCACATTTTGATTCATCCAAAAATGCGACAATCCAAGATCATTTAAATTATTTCGAACAAAACAAACCCAATCTGATTTAATATTATTCAGAGTATATAAATAATTATTATGAGTTGAGTTTTAGATTTTTTTCAGTACGGCAAAAACAACGTGACAATATGGGTTTTAGACAAATTTTTAATGACCAATTGATTCTGTTTTCATATTCAGTGCGAATCTGAAATATTTACATTATTTACACTTCCGGTATGGCTGAAAGCGAAGAAAAAGCCCCTCCTTTGCAAGAAAAGGGAGAACTTGATGAGGTAACAACATTAATTGTTGTATTACATCATCTTACGTATTTCCGTTGAAAAAAAATATTTACCTACCCTCAGATAACTATGGTTGAATGCCCAGAAGCTTGATCTGTTGATTCGTCCCATTTAATTTTCGTAACAAGATAATCACGATAATTTATCATGATTATCTACAACATTCAAATTCACTTCTTCTTCACTTGATTCTCCCGATTCCGAAGTTAAGATCATTACTTGAAATCGATTTCATTGAAAAAGGGTGTTAGTCTTGATGTAAAAAACCATGAGTTAACAGTAGTCCTAATTATTAGCCTAATTAATTTGGCGTGAACGGTTTGACCCATTTTACAGACTTTTTTTTCTTACTGTCAAACCGTTACGCCTAATTTTAACTGTCATTTTTACGCACGGAAAATCTACCGGTAACACTATCGATAGTTTGGACTAATTTTTACTGCTTAAACCTGAAAGTAACTTCAATTACCTCTAAAGATCAATAGAATATAAATTTTAGTACTAACTTCTCCTAGAAAAAATAGTAGATTGTACCTGTCTTAACGCATACATGCGATTTATTTCAAATTTGTACTGTCTACTCTATCTTCGGCCGACATGTTATGACGTCATCGTAAAAAAATCGATTCCGTGAAAGCTGGTAGTAGCTACCAGTGTGTCTAGCAGGTAAGTGTGGGTTACGCATGAAGATTAAATTAAACGAAATATCGGGGAAAATAAATCTATTCATTATTTTTTAATAAATGTGTGCATTATTAAATACTATTGAAAAGTATCATTGTATTTAACCTAAAATGCAATGGTCGCAAATAGGCTCTGTACAAGTACTGTTGTTTAATATTTTTTAAATATTTTAATATATATACTCAACATTTATCAATTGGTGGTTTGCCTTCTTGTTTACTGCTAATGACTGCCAAATGTCACTCTCGGATAAAATACTGACTTCATTTATACATGCATATTTATATGACAATTAAGAACGTAAAAGAAATATTGAAGGAAACTATTTGAAATACACTTCAAATTATTCAGTATTTGTACAAATAATATTTCAAGAGCTCATTTTCAACGATTGCCGATATATAATACCATATTAAACCTATTGATAAAGTTAAATGTCTTCTTGACATACTTTATTAATTTACTAAAAAGGAACTTTATTGTGATCCAGCCATATTTCCGTTGAAAAGAAATATTTACCTACCCTCAGATAACTATGGTTGAATGCCCAGAAGCTTGATCTGTTGATTCGTCCCATTTAATTTTCGTAACAAGATAATCACGATAATTTATCATGATTATCTACAACATTCAAATTCACTTCTTCTTCACTTGATTCTCCCGATTCCGAAGTTAAGATCATTACTTGAAATCGATTTCATTGAAAAAGGGTGTTAGTCTTGATGTAAAAAACCATGAGTTAACAGTAGTCCTAATTATTAGCCTAATTAATTTGGCGTGAACGGTTTGACCCATTTTACAGACTTTTTTTTTCTTACTGTCAAACCGTTACGCCTAATTTTAACTGTCATTTTTACGCACGGAAAATCTACCGGTAACACTATCGATAGTTTGGACTAATTTTTACTGCTTAAACCTGAAAGTAACTTCAATTACCTCTAAAGATCAATAGAATATAAATTTTAGTACTAACTTCTCCTAGAAAAAATAGTAGATTGTACCTGTCTTAACGCATACATGCGATTTATTTCAAATTTGTACTGTCTACTCTATCTTCGGCGGACATGTTATGACGTCATCGTAAAAAAATCGATTCCGTGAAAGCTGGTAGTAGCTACCAGTATGTCTAGCAGGTAAGTGTGGGTTACGCATGAAGATTAAATTAAACGAAATATCGGGGGAAATAAATCTATTCATTATTTTTTAATAAATGTGTGCATTATTAAATACTATTGAAAAGTATCATTGTATTTAACCTAAAATGCAATGGTCGCAAATAGGCTCTGTACAAGTACTGTTGTTTAATATTTTTTAAATATTTTAATATATATACTCAACATTTATCAATTGGTGGTTTGCCTTCTTGTTTACTGCTAATGACTGCCAAATGTCACTCTGGGATAAAATACTGACTTCATTTATACATGCATATTTATATGACAATTAAGAACGTAAAAGAAATATTGAAGGAAACTATTTGAAATACACTTCAAATTATTCAGTATTTGTACAAATAATATTTCAAGAGCTCATTTTCAACGATTGCCGATATATAATACCATATTAAACCTATTGATAAAGTTAAATGTGTTCTTGACATACTTTATTAATTTACTAAAAAGGAACTTTATTGTGATCCAGACATATGCTGTGTAACTATAAAGGAAGGGTCACATATTTTAATTGAAATAAATTTTAAGTAGAGGATATTAAAAAAAAGTCATTGAGAAGATCAGAATTTTCAAATGAACAGATTAAGAGACTTATAAATGTATAAGGTGTATGTCTTGTTGTTTCATACTGTTTTGGTGACACTTTTGTTTGTGTCCCTTGTTGTTTTCTCGTCTATGGTAAGTTTTTCCCTTTGCCCCTAGTTTTATTTCTTTATTTCGCCCCCTCCCTCAAATTTCCTATCCCCTTTCAGAGATCTGCCGAGGACGCGATTTTGCGCCATTGGCGCTAAAAAAATGAGAATGGCGCAGGAAAATCGGCAGCAAAGGGCCATGGGTGCATCTAAAATCTGTGGCAGACTTATAAGAAAACAAAACTGTCTGCCGATTTATTTAGTCATCCAGTCAAAACTGGTACCAACAGCAACATTCCCCTGTAATTACGCATATTCTTGAGTTTATCCATTCCCCTATAGCTTTTGTCCATGTTATCTACTTACCGCATTTCTTCTTATTATTCCTTTCCCACACAGATACTCATTTCTACTACGTAAATTTAATCCAATATAACAAACAAACAAATTATACAACTACTTAATATTTAAAATGATTATCGGTAACTGAAAAAAAGTGTTGCTATTTTTAGCTCGACTTTTCTATGAAAAGGGGAGCTATCCTACTCGCCCCGGCGTCGGCGTTGGCGTCACACCTTGGTTAAGTTTTTCGTACCACCCCACTTTATTTCAGAAGTATTACAAGTATGGCTTTGAAACTTACCATACTTGTTCACCATCATAACCTCCATCTACAGACAAGAGTACATAACTCTGTCAAGGTTTTTGACAGAATTATGGCCCTTTTTTGACTTAGAAAGTGTATTGAGCTTGGTTAAGTTTTTTGTACCACCTCACTTTATTTCAAAACCATTGGAGGTATTGCTTTGAAACTGACCATACTTGTTTACCATCACGACCTTCATCAACAGACAAGAGGACATAACTCTGTCAAGGTTTTTGACAGAATTATGCCCCTTTTTGACTTAGAAAATACATTGAATATGGGTAAAATCCACTTATTGCCTTAACCCTTTGAGATATTGCTTTGAAACTTTTAATGCTATTCACATCATTACCCCCATCTGTACGCAAGAGAAGGTAACTCTGTCAAGGATTTGTTTTAAAAATTAAGGCTTTTATCGACTTAGAATCTTGGTTAAGTTTTTAGTACCAGTCCACTTTTTGACTGAACTGTTTGAGATATTAATTTGAAAGTTGGAATACTTGTTTACAATCATGATTCCCAAACATGTCCAGGAGAAGGTAATTCTGTCAAAGATTTTATTTGAATTATGGCCCTTAACTGTCAATGTTTTGTATTATAGGCAAGCACTAAAAAACTTAAAAAATCTAAAAAAATTCATTCCTATCCACTGAACCTGCAGTGTTCAAGGGTATCACACAATTCAGTAAAATAATTCTTCACTAAATATCTTAATGCTCATGGCCATTGTTCACTTTAAAAATACAGAGATTCTTGTATTGCCTTTTACTGCAAAAACTTTTTTTATTGGCAAGCAATAAAAAAGTCGAGCGCGCTGTCTTACGGACAGCTCTTGTTAGAAATGCTGTAAGTTACAGCATAATCTGACAGGTGTACAACATGAGCACCCCTAAGGTCACTCAAGTTTACGCAAGCTTTGTAAAAAAAAAGATGTCTAATTTCGTCATCAGAATATTTGACAGGGTGATTAACCAATCAGTGAAACATTGTGCATGACTTTTTTCATGATCAAAAGGTCTGTCGGCAAGTGTCTTTGATGTATGCTGTCTACACAGAGGCATACAAGGGGCAATAAAATTCGTCAATATACAGTGGTAAGGGACATTTAGTGCAAAGTGGAATAATTCAATGGATAATGCACAGTATTAGACAACCAGCAATTATGTGAATAAATTTGCATATCAAATTTTTGAGCAGCCATTTAAAAAATATGTCTGCAATTAATATTAGAAAGTTACCATGTAGGCATAATTTTTAATTATTGGTTAAGTACTGAATCATATTCATAAGTGAACCACTTGTCATAAAATATGATTTATTAAGTTTTATTACCAGGGAAATTCAATTATCTACTTTTAACTTTTTAACAGTTATTTAGGTCAATGTTTACTTATTTGCCCAAGGCCCATACTTTGGTAAAAATGGCCCATCATTTTCAGACCAAATGGGCCCAGGGCCCAGTACTTTCAAATTCTTGGCAGATCTCTGCCCTTTTCCTGTGCCCGTTAACTTAGTGGTCCTGTTTCATACTGTTTTGGTGACACTTTTGTTTGTGTCCCTTGTTGTTTTTTCGTCTTTGGTAAGTATCTTCCCTTTGCCCCTAGTTTTATTTCTTTATTTCGCCCCCTCCCCGAATTTCCTATCCCCTTCCCCTGTGCTTATTTACTTAGTGGTCCTATTAATCATTCATTTATTTATTTTCTTTGATTTCCTTCTCAGTTACATTTTAGTGATAAGCCTCCCTTGCGCCCTTTCCCGTTTTAATTTAGGATCCTCCTGGGTTCCTTGCCAATGGTTCATGTTCCTTGGTCGTGTGGGGTTTGCGTTCATTGAACGCTGCCTTTCCTTGTTCATCTT